AGAGAGAGAGGGAGATTTATATCAAGGAAATGGCTCACACAGTTGTAGAGGCTAGAACATCCCAAGTCCATAGATTCGGATAGAGACTTCTCCTGGTTCATGTAGCCGCAGGGGCTGGCGAACCCAAGATCAGCAGGTGGGAGAGCAAGGCTCTTGCTCATAGGCTGTGAAGATCAGTGAATCCCAAGATTGGTAGGCAAGACCACAGGTAAGCTGCTAGCTCGAGTCCCAAAAACCAGAGGTCAGACGAACAGGAGCCAGCTGCAGGATCCAGAGCAGGCAAAAGCCAGAATGTCCACTTATATTCAGATGCAGGCCACATGCCCAAGGAAACTCCCTTTCAGCTGATTGGCTACTCACAGCAGATCCCATCATGGGGGTGATCACATATCATATCTCAACAGGGAAGTGATCATAACATTATATTAATGCCAAAATGCTGAGAATCATGCCCCAGCCAAGATAGCACACAATCTTAACCATCACAGATGATTTCTAATTTTCCTAGTTTCATCCTTCGTACATTCCACGTTCCTTTATCAATGGATGTTTGCAGCTGTTTCTTCTCATTTTGAGTTGTGCCACATCAACAAATGAAGGTCCTGAAAGCTTGAATCCACCTATGTCATTAAGGTCGACTCTATTTCAAGGAGGCAGTCAGCTTTTAGTCCCTTCCAACCTGAGGGGTTCATCTTCCAGCACTATATCAGACAGTGTTCTGCTAATTGTAAAGTTTACACTGGCTGATTATTTCAGAAGTAGACTGTGAGGTCCTTCTTCCTCATCTGTCTTAGTCTGGAAGCTCAGCTGCAACCTGTCTGCCACGAGAGACCCTGCTGGTATTTGCTTATGAGTGTTTGCCATGAGTGACCCTGCCGGTGGCATAGCTTCCAGCATCACAGCAACACGCAAGCCACTACAGTATGACAAACTGACAAGATGCATGGGTATGTGAAATTAGATCCCCAGACCGGCAGGTCAGATGGCAGGCTGCTGACTCACAGGGCTGAGGGAGCTGGAATGTCTTAGGCTGTGTTCTCCATAATCAGCGGCTCAGACATCAGGCTGCTGTCTCATGTCCTAAAAACTGGAGGTCAGATGATGACAAGTAAGATGCAGGATTCAGAGCAACAGTGAGCCTTGCTGGAACACTTTTATTTATGTTGGATGCAAGCCATACCCCCAAGGAGAATCCCTTTTTTACTGATTGGCTGGTCTTATCAGATCACAAAATGGAGAATGATTACATCAGATCACAGAATGGAAGATGACCACATCACAGAATGGAAGACGACTCCTTCATTACATAATTGCTAAATTACATCATTACGTGACTGCCAATCTGCTGAGAGTCATGGCCCAGCTTAGTTGACACATAGCCTTAACCATCACAGCCAGCGTTACTCCCACGTCCCACCTTGGCGTTTGTTCCCGCCAGACATAACATTGTTAATGCTGAAAATAGTAGATTTAGCAGATTTTTTACTATTGTAAATGCAAAGTATTGGTTAACAAGACAGTCGATAGGTGAGGAGTGGATATAAAAGGAAGGGTTATGCTTAAGGGGGAAGACACTGGTGTAAAGAGCATGCTAGAGAGAGAGAGAACATTTACACTGAGACCAACAAATGAAAGAACAGGAGTCAGCTTGGAGGGGAAATAGGAAAGAAATGGGAACAGAGGCAAGAAATGGCTCCTTAGAGAAAACTTAATGATTTTCTGATTTATTTGTTGATCGATTTATATTATAAGATTGTAAGACAAAGTGTTGAGGAATCCTCCCAGATTTCTCAAAAGCTTAGGACTGGTAGTGGCACAGTTTGAAAACGAAGGGGAAAAAACACTCAAGGGAAAGAAAGAAATGTTCATTGTGAAAGACACAGGAAAAATACCATATATTACAATGCTATAAATGGAAATTTTATAATAAAGCACAATAGAAGAGTTTTAACTGTACATAATTAAAAATGAATGAACCATGATGGGTTCATTGACAGAACTTGAAAAATATGTTCTCCCTGAAAATTACCCATGTTAATAGCAAATAATAGTGTGTGTGTTGATAGAAGAGTTGGAATCGACAAGACGACAGTGGGTTTGATTTGGTTTTTGGTGTTGATCTATGTGGATCAGAGTTACATAGGTGAACCCACAGGTTCAGCATTGAACCCCTGACTTCCTGGAGGAAATCAGGCTCAAGTTTTCCAGCCTGGCCAGGACTTGTTGCTTCTCATGTTCTGGGACAAGTAAGTTCCTGCATCTGTGATCTTGTTGCCAGAAAGAAGAGCCCATGGAGCTGCATGAAGAATGCAGGTGTGTGCTGTAGAGGCTGGGGCCTGTTCTACCTTCAGTGCAAATGCCCTCAAGGTGGAGCATTGCCCTGAGCCTGGGGAGGAAGCCAAAAACCTGTCACTCCCTGCTTCCTCAACACTATTTCCTCCCCATCCTTTTTCCATTTCAGGTCTCCAGTGTTTTGCAGAGAAACTAGTCCAGTCCAGGCAGCTGGGGATCTAGCGTGACCATCTTGCACATCCGTAAATCACAAGTATGGATTTTAACTGCTCTGACTGATGTGTGGACCAAACATTTTTCACGTGCTTCCTAACTGCCCAGTGCTCTGCTTCTACTCCCATTCCTCTTACTGAAGTGAATTCTTGGGCTTAGAGACGACATTCCCTTAGACTTCCAGAAGGTGGAGCAAGGAAATGGTGAGTACCACAAAGAACTGGGCTATTACCGTAAATGAGCGAGACTTGATGTGAATTGTTGGGGGACCAGCTGTGTGCTGTGGGACTATGATTCATCAATGAAGAAAACAGATGGCAGAGTACGCCAAGGGACTGAGCCCTAGGAGGCATCCTAAGTCCGTCCCTGCTCCACTGTCACTGGGCCCTTCCTCAATAGATACATGGCTTTTCCAGATTTGGATGCCTGGTGTCACCTTCCTTATGTAACTCTGAGAGCAGGCACCATGGGGTGTTAACATTCTCACCTTGGGCCTTGGTGCTCTGTGTTGAATGACAGAGTGTCCTGACCAGAGCCTTGAAGACGGAGCAGCTCTGGCTCTGGTGGCTGAGACCTGGCCTTCCAGAGCCATCCTTGTCCCCTCTCTCTTAATAGTTTTCTTGACTTCCCCTAGGCACTGGAGTATTTTTGTGCAGTTCTAAAACTAAAACAGCACTTCTCACATTGTGTGGTAGGTTAGAAGAGGGGGGAAAGAGTTTGTAGATGAAGGCTCTGTTTATGGGGTCCTGGGTGGTGGTGGTGCTCTCCTGATGTCGCCAAAGTTATGTAGCTGGGGACAGGAGTCCACCTGCATCCAAGTAAAACGAAATCCTTGACAACTTTAGCCTTTTCTCGGTTTATCATGATGTTGCTTATTGGTCCAGTTGTGAGGATTTTTGTTTTCTTTATGTTGAGGTGCAGTCCATACTGAAGGCTGTAGTCTTTGATCTTCATCAGTAAGTGCTTCAAGTCTTCTTCACTTTGAGCAAGCAAGATTGTGTCATCTGCATATCAAAGGTTGTTAATGAGTCTTCCTCGTATCCTGATGCTGTGTTCTTCTTCATATAGTCCAACTCCTTGGATTATTTGCTTAGCATACAGATTGAATAAGTATAGTGAAAAGGATACAACCCTGACCCACACCTTTCTTGAGTTTAGACCACGCAGTATTCCTTTGTTCAGTTCCAACGACTACCTCTTGGTCTGTGTACAGGTTCAGCATAAGCACAATTAAGTTTCTGTAATTCCCATTCTTTGCAATGTTATCCATAATTTGTTATGATTAATACAGTTGAATGCCTTCGAATAGTCAGTACAACACAAGTAAACGTCTTCTGGTATTTTCTGCTTTGGATATTATCCTGTCATTGATAGCGTTATACTTCAGGATAGATCTTGAAATGTTCTTTTTGATGATGAATGCAGTGCCCTTCCTCTTCAGTTTGTCATTCCCTGCATGGTAGACCATATGATTGTCCAATTCAAAATGACCAATACTAGTCCATTTCAGCTCACTAATAGCTAGAATATTGATCTTTATGCAGTCTGTTTCTTTTTTTACGACTTGCACTTTTCCTAGATTCATACTTTGTACATTCCGTGTTCCAGTTATTAACGGAAGTTTGCAGCCGTTTCTTCTCATTTTGAGTTGTGCCACCTCTGCAAATGAAGGTCCTGAAAGCTTTACTGCATCCATGTCGTTAAGATCGACTCTGACCTGGTCTCTCCATCACCCCAGAACTAAAACAGTTTCTGAGGCCAACTCTTCAGACAGGGATTGGACTGGACTGTGGGACGTAAAGTGATACTCGTGAAGAATGTGCCTCTTAGACAAGTAGATACAAGAGACCAAAGGGGCGGCTTCTGTCCAGAGGTGAGACGGGAAGGCAGAGAGAGTTAGGAGCTGGTTGAATGTTCATGGGGAATCGGGGCGGATGGGAGGAGTAGTGTGCTGTCACAGAATGGGGTGAGCGGTTGGGGTCTCATAACAATGTATGTTAAAAAAATTCTGTATGGGAGACTAACCTGAAATGTAAACTTCATTTAATTACATCAGTTAAAAAAAGGAAAAAAGAAAAAAGGGTCTCTGCAGGTGTTTCATGAGTGTTTTTCTTGATTCTTTGATGTTTCCTATGTAGACAATCATTTCTTCTGCAAACAAAGACAGGTTATTGCATCCTTTGTTGTTGTGTGCTGTCGAGTTGATTGAACTGCTCTATAGGGTTTCCTAGGCTGTGATCTTTACTGTAGTAATTACCAGATCTTTTCTCCCGCAGAACCATTGGTAGGTTCGAATTACCAACCTTTCGATTAGCAGGTGAGTGTTTTAACCACCATGCCACTAAGGCTCCTTATTTCATCCTTAACAGTCTGTATAGTTTTCTTTCCTTTTCTCATTTCGTTGCATTACCTAGGACTTCTAGTACAATGTTGAATAGCAGTGATGAGTGGGAACATCTTTGCCTTGTTCCTGATCTTAGCAGGAAGCATCTAGTAGGTTTTTTTGTAGATGTTCTTTATCAAGTTGAGGACATTTTCTTCTTTTCCTAGTTTGCTGAGAACTTTTATTCTGAATGAGTGTTGGGTTTTGTCAACTGCTTTCTCTGCATCTATTGACGTGTTCCTGTGATTTTTCTTGTTTAGCCTGTTGATTTGATGGATTACATCAGTTGATTTTCTAGTGTGGAACCAGTTTTGAATATCTAGAATGAATCCCACTTGGTCGTTGTCTTAGTCATCTAGTGTTGCCATAACAGAAATACAAGTGGATGGCTGTAACAGAGAGAAATTTATTCTCTCACAGTCCAGTAAGCTACAAGTCCAAATTCGGAACGTCAGCTCCAAGGGAAGGTTTTCTGTTGTCAGTCAGCTCTGGAGGAAGGTCCTTGTCATCAGTCTTCCTTTGGTCTGGGAGCATCTCAGTGCAGGAACGTCAGGGCCAAAGGACGCACTCTGCTCCTGTTGCTGCTTTCTTGGTAGTATGAGGTCCCTATGTCTCTGCTCGCTTTTCTCTTTTATATTTCAAAAGAGATCAGCTTAAGACAGTATTTAATCTTGTAGACCTTATCGATATAACTGCTGCTAATCCATCTTATCACATCACAGTGATAGCATTTATAACACATAGGAGAATCACATCAGATGATAAAATGGTAAACAATCATACAATACTGGGAAACATGACCTAGCCAAGCTGACATATTTTTGGGGGACACAATTCAATCCATGACATTGTACCCTTTGGCCCCCCAAAATTCATGTCCTTCCCACGTGTAAAGCATATTCACCCCATCGTAACAAAAGTCTTAACTCCAAATCCAAAATCCAAAAAATTCCTCTTTATCTATAAAATCTAGAATACACATTATTGGCTTCCAGAGGCACAATAGCGCAACAGACAGGCACAAGGTAGACATTTCCATTACAAATGGGAGAAAATGAAGGGAAAGAAGGCATAACAGGCACCAAGCAAGTTAGCAGAACACATTACATTAGCTGTCACGGCTTGAAAATAATCTTCTGTTCTCTGAGACCACTTACACAATGGACCTGCCCTCTAGACTCTAGGTATTGGTTACACTCTGGATTCTGAATGGAGGCCCTTCTGCCTTCCAGGAACACTAGGGCAGCAACTCTACTCCCTTGGCTTTAGGCACACCAATCTCCTAGTCCATCTGAGTGGCGACTCCACCTTTAGAAACAACAGAGGCCGTGGCTTCGCCCTTTGAAACCCCAGAGGTCCTGGCCATACCTTTTGAGACTGAGGCAGCTCGGCTTCTTGTGTTCCTTGACTCTTCAGCTTCTGCTTCCTGGTTTCTTGGCCTCTTGGGCCTCATGTCCACATCTGCCCTGCTGGGGCAAGTGATCCAAAGCTCTGTAGCTCCACTGGTAAGTGCCTGGAGGCACCTCACTCTGCCAGTAAATTCGGCTGGAAGGCACTCAGCTCTCTTGCTCCGTGGGTCGTCAAGCCTAGCTCCACCAATAAATGCCTGGGGGTACCCTACTTCACCAGGAATCCTCCTGCGCACAGGCACTCGGCTCTCTCACTCTGTGGGTTTGCTCCAGCACCATCTCGCACTGGTCTCCTGGTTCTGCTGCTGCCAGTTCTCTGCTGCTGCTGGTCCTCTGCTGCTGCTTCTCACCATCTGCACCGTCTCCGTTAACAGTTCTTCTTGCTTCCATTCCATTCACTATCTTCTCTTCCATTCACTCTTCTCTTCATTATCCATTCAGTTTCAAAACCACTTCCACATTTTAGGTATCTGTTAAAGCAGCACCCCACTTCTTATACCAAATGCTGTCTTAGTCATCTACTGCTGCCATAACAGAAATACCACAAGTGGATGGCTTTAACAAAGAGAAATTTATTCTCTCACAGTCCAGTAGGCTACAAGTCCAAATTCAAGGTGTCAGCTCCAGGGGAAGACTTTCTCTTCTCTGTCAGCTCTGGAGGAAGGTCCTTGTCTTCAGTTTTCCTTTGGTTTGGGAGCATCTAGCGCAGAAACCTCAGGTCCAAAGGATGCGCTCTGCTCCCGCCACTGCTTTTTTGGTAGTGTGAGGTCCCCATCTTTTCTCTGCTCGCTTCTCTCTTTTATATCTCAAAAGAGATTAGCTTAAGACACAGTCTAATCTTGTAGACCTCATCGATATAACTGCCGCTAATCCATCTTATCACATCACAGTGATAGCATTTATAACATATAGGGAAATCACATCAGATGATAAAATGGTAGACAATCATACAATACTGGGAATCATGACCTAGCCAAGTTGACAGATATTTTGGGGGGACACAATTCAATCCATGACAGTCGTGGTATATAATTCTTGTTATACATTTTTTGATTCAATTTCCTAATTTTTTGTTGGGGAGTTTTGCATCTGTGTTCGTAATTGGTGTGTAGTTTATGTTTCTTGTAATGTAATATTTTTCTGTTTTTGGCATTTGGGTAATAACTGGCCCCATAACATTGGTTTGAAAGTATTTGCTTCTATTTTCTGGACTGAATAGAGAAATTGGCATGCTTTTTTCATTAAATATTTGGTAGAGTTCATCAGTGAACCCATCTGAGACTGGTGCCTTCTGTTTTTGGATGTTTTTACTTACTGATGTAAGGATGTGCTCTGCTCCTGGTTCTTCTTTCTTCTTGGTAGTCAGGTCCCACCTTTCCACCTCTGGGATGGCTCATTTTAAGCCTGTTGT